ACTATTGTTGGGTTAGCGAGGTCACGTGACTAGTATCACGCCAGGTCCTTCTCGAACCTTCATGAATTATCGGGAGACTACTAGATTGGGGGTAGGCTGGTATATATAAGATGGTCACAACGTGACGGAACAGTGTAATGAGTAATTGAACTGCAGTCAGAGAGTGTGTAATTGAACTGAGTATTGTTGAAGTCGAGCTCGTGTGACTGTTGAAATTAAGTGTATCGCAAAGTTATATTCAGAAAGAATAAACCAGTTTTGTTTAAGAAAGGACTTGCTTAATTACAAACAAACAAACAAAATACTAACTATTCCATAAACTATAACTGGAATATATATATTTCTCTCACTTCTGTGTACCATGAACTTTCAGTATACTTTTTATGAGTGGGCCTAATACTAAAGTACATCTGAAAAACTTCCAAAGCTCAGCAGTTGATCAAGGAGCTGAAAATACATATTTTGGGGAGAGTTTTTAATTAAGTTTTTTTTTTTGCCATTTTAAGCATTCTTCAAGGGGGTCACTTACCGTTACAGAGGTGTCATGCGTGGAGTTAGGGAGCGGTAATAAATTTCGAAATTTTTTTCGAATCTTTCATTCGGCTGACATTTGATACTTTAAATACACGATACTTTGCTAAAAGTTGTTTGAGTCATTCACTGTACATTCTAAAAAAAATGAAATTCACCGTATCAATGAAATAGTTTAGTCTTTGCATTTTCTTCTGTAACTTCACACACATGTAGACATGAATTTATTATTATTATATTTATTCCGTAGAGGCATAGTTTAAGATTTAGTCACGTGACCAGAGTAATTTTAATTTCAACATGGCAGCTTGGTAATCGTACTAATTTTTGTCGCGACAAAGTCGCTGCTTATCCATTGAAAATTTGAGCAGTGTTGTGCCAAAGTTTTAAAAAACTCGAGAGAAATGGATAGTAAAGATTATGACAATGTGAAAAACATGACTCTGATGTTTTTCTTAGACCGGTTAATGGATAAAGGCCAACCACGAACTCTTCACGATCTTTCGTGCCAGTTTGGTACTAAGGGTTTTACCAAAGAAATGCGTCAGATTGCTGGGGGAAGCCAGTCTGGCTTGCGGAAATTTTTATTGCAGTACCCATCATTGTTTACTATAGAAGGTGATCATGTTCGTGTCACATGTTTGAGCAGTGAAGATCCTTCTTCTGGAGTAGGAACCAAAAGAGATTATGCCCTAGAAGCTGTTGAGTACTTTGAAAATAAGTTGGGAATGTATGGGAATGCAGAAGTTCCAATAAAAAGTTTACTTGGTCACCGGTCTCAAGCTAGCCCAGAAATTCGCCATATCTCAGGACAGCATGTGAAGGAATTCAAGGATTTTCTACAGCGATACCCAGATGTATTTGTGATTCAAGATGAATATGTAGTTCTGAAGAGTGTACTTCAAACACCAGATGGAAAGTTGAACACTAACATTACAAAGGTGCCTGAAGAAGAGCCTCTTGATCCTCAGCTTACAAATCAGTTACTCACAATATTTGAAGGTGTTGTTAAAGCTGAAGGCAAGGTTTCAGTTGAACAACTATTAAACAATCTTAGCTCAAACTATCCAAGGCTAATGTGGTCCAAAATGATGAAGAGTACCCAGGATCTCATTGCATTTTTAAAGATGAACTCTCACATATTTTGTGTACAATCTAACATGGTATCACTTGTGCCTCAACGTTTGCAAACATACATAACATCCAAGGTCAATGATAATAATAATACCACAAACACTATGTCATCCTTACCAGTATCACCTACAAATGGTATTTGCCGTTCTTCTGAAAACTCAAAGAATTTCCAACAGCGATTAAGAATGCAGGTAATGAAAGCTGTTGCAGATAATTCAGCCATTGATTACAAAGATCACAACAATCTGTCTAGCAGTAATAGTGGCTTAATTGGTGGGAAAGACTGTGCTGATGACTCATTAGTACAGATGATGAAAAATACAAAAATGATAACTAAAGTTAAAGAAGGCTTAACTGTTGTGCAGCAGATTCTCAGTAGTGGTCAAGAGGCTGTTGCTGTTGATGTAGAAGGTGTTAACTTAGGGCCTTCAGGCCCTTTGACATTGGTACAGTTAGGAACAATGGATAAAAAGGTGTACATCTTTGATTTATTGTCTTCCCCTCAACTGATGGTAGAAGGAGGTCTTAAGGAACTGCTACAATCAGAAAATATATTTAAGGTAGGAACTTTAATTTAAAAATAGATCTTCTTTAGTATTATTTTTAATAAACACATTGTATTACCAGTACTCGGTAGAATTTACTAGAGCCTGATAATATGATTTTAGAAACTATTACTCTTAAGGTTTTCACAGATTTAAGAATCCAAGCTGTAGATCAGGTAAGTGACAAAAATTGATAAAAGCATACCTGAAGCCTGAATAATGGATAAGGAAGTTACATACAAAGTTAAGATCAACATCTGATTATTAAATAAGAATAAAGTATATATATATATATCCAATATTTTGCTTTTGATATGAAGTAGAATTATATTTGTATTTTCATCCAATGTTGGTTATATTATTATGGATAATGGTTATACATGTTGCACTGTGTAGAGCAGTGACAGAAAATAATAAGATTACAGCACTGAGCATGATGTAAAGTCTAGCAGTTGCCTATGAGATGCAGTCTCTTATCTTGATTTTCACAAGCCAGTAACAGTCTGTAAGGAAGATCAGGTTATTAAATGGGGGTCTGAAAGAGAAAATAAAGATGATGGATTACATTTAGAAATAAAATGGCATATCAATTGTAGATAACCATAAATGGCAACAGCTGTAGAATTTCTGGATGTATTTTTCATGCAGTTAGAGATGACTGGGAGTAGAGGGTCCCAGGGAATTATAGTTCCCAGCCATAGAAGTATGTGAATGTGAAATCACAGTTGCAAATATATAAATCTCCCATAAACAAAATAGCAATTATTTTACATCGAACAACAAATGAAATATGTCTACAGTACTAATACACACTGAGTTTGCATGATTTATTTCAAGGCAACCATACTCCCACTAGTTGTAAATTGACTTTAAAAAATTGTGATTATTGCTAAACCTTCCCTCTGCCATTTGGCAGTGACCAGCAAGTGAATGTTAAAACAAAAACAGGGTGTTGGTTCAAATTGGCTGGACCAATAAGGACCAGTGATACATCAAATTATAGCTTTCTTCATGCTCTACTTTTGTCTGGGTGGTTTCATTGGATCCAGAAGCATTTACTATTTGAAAACACACATACAAAACTTTAAAAGCATTATAATTCTTTTTAGCCATTGAATGTGTAGAAACAAAGCCACACAGTAAACTTTGTGGTGCATATTACATAACACATAAACCAATACATAGATATGTGTGCTCAAATTGAACTGGCAGCATGTCAAAAATGATGAGTGAGGATTTTAAACACACTATACATTGGCCTGGCAACAATTTGTTTATGTCATGTCATTGGGTGTAAACAGACAATATGTTACATTGTTGAGTGTGGATAGAGTGAAAGAACGTGTAGTACAATATTTTATAATAAAAGTGGTATGAACAATGTATCAATTACATTGTGATATGATGTAGAGTGAGTAAAGTTTACTGTTGGTACATATCTGTGAGTCACTGTATTTCAACTTTACAACCAGTGTGATTACAAAATCTATACTTTCATGGGTGCGTAAGTAAGCTCATACTTCCATTTTTAATTTTTGGTTGTTGACAATTTTCATTTCATTTATCCATATCATATGAATCCACAAGTACGAGTTTGAAATTGATGGATTTTATTGGACTACATTTTATCTTGCCTTGATACGGATTTCATACAGTCTCAGGTTACCAGATAAAGCTATAATTTGATATCAATCCTTGACAATTTGTTAACATTGTTCCAATGGGGCGGTCGATTTACAGGCACAATTTTTAATTGTTTTTCATTATTTATTCACTACATAATTGAACTGGCAGTGTATATCTATTACGTTATGACTGTAGAATCCAATGGTGTGTGAATTTTTTTTTTTCATTATTTAAAAATCATCAAAACCCCTTACTTGGAGGAGATTTGCTTTGGTCACACGGGGGGAGGGAATGTCTGTTTATTGGTAATAAAAGGGGTTTTCAGGTAGAGCTGGGCAATTACATTCAACTAGTTGATGATTATCATATGAGACTTGAATAGTTGGAATTATTGAAAATAATAATAATTGGAAACATTAATTTTGATTAGTTGATTATTTTTTAAGGCATGATAATAATCGATTAAGCTGAATAACCTTGAATTTAAAAATGATAAGAAATAATTGTATTATTTTGATTACTTAGGTAGTTGGAATAATCAGAAACACTAATTCCGATTATTGTTGGTTTTCTTTCACAATATTAATTTCAATTACATCAATTATTTGATTTAATTCTCAGTTCTGGTTGTGTGAACTTTGAGTAAAGCTTATAGAATTTTAGTATTTATTTATAGACATACTGATTACAAGTTAAAAGAGATAATTACCTCTATAAGGGAAACCACTAGTTATTTAGGTTCACATACAAGTGCTCCATATGAGCTATATATATATATATATATATATATATATATATATAT